GGGATGGGACTGGGTGGGCTTTGAGGCCCCTTCCCACCCAAACCAGTCTCTGATTCCATGATTTTGGAACCTCTTTCCATGCAGTTCTCTGTTTCTGTACTACTAACCACTCCTCAACGTGATGCCCTCAGACAGATGCTCCGTTTTTAGCAAAAGCACGGCTCTTTAGGATTGGATTTAAAGTAAAAGTGGCTCTACACCTATGATGTTTTTGACAGCACGACTGAAGAAATACACCTTTTTCAAAAATACCAATTACCATGAGTTATTAGCATTTGTTCAGCAATACACGCCAACCACTCAAGGAAAACACAGGGCCTTGCCATGAACAGTAAAATACTCCGTTTGAACTCATGCTTTCAGTGACAACCCAGCAGCTAAACCTCCCTCAAGTTCAGTCCATTAGGCAGTAAACTCATTATCATCATCACAGCACAATGAAGAAACACTCTCCCAGCTACGAGACCATTAAATCCGATCCATTTGAGAGAATAACCACAGAGGAAGGAGAAAGAACGTGCTAGAACACGCTGCTGAAGAAATTCAGCGTTGGCAGCTTTTGTTTGCATAATGACTTTAGCACCCCTGTGAACTTTAGCATAGACATGATCAGCACAAACTGAGGTCCTTGTACATATATACAGACAAGACTCATGGTGCAGAGTAAGTATTTACCTACAAAGCACTCTAGAAAAGGCACAAACGTATGCTACATGCACTACTTGCTAACGCTACTGTACTACTGCAAAGAACCAGCTGCATCAAGACTATTCTTTTGCTGTAAATTCAGCACATTTGAAAAGGATTACAGACACTGTATGCCGAATTCTTACGCTGTTAAGTATGACAAAAATAGAGAACTTCAGAGCATTTCCAAATAGTACATCAGGGATTGTTACAACCAGTACAAATAACAAAGCAGATCATAGACTGGAAACAATGAAATGCTGAAATAAGTCATATTCACAGTTTTCCATTTCTGAAATGTATTCATAATTTTACATGAGGTTCAGTTTCTATGAGCACATAAGCAGATTGAAAATAAATCTGCATTAAACACTAAATAACTACTTTTGCCCGTTCTGTTGGGTTTTCACGGCTAGAAACTTGCTCACAGCTCCTGGGAGAACAGGGGCATTTTTCCCCCAAATGATCATATCAGTTACACTTTGAAGAAGTGAACAAATCCATTTCAAGCTGTCAATTTAAAACAAGTCTAGCTTAGTCTTGCAGGGGAAAAAAATGAAGAGCCTAAGAGCCACAAGCTTCAATAACACATGAGGGAGCATGAAAGCCAGCAAGTCCATGTGTTATTGGACAGTCACGGACACTAACCTCACTTACAGAAAACGGGGTTGAAATAAATCACTGGACTTCCAAACAACCAAGAGGTAATTTTCCTTCGAAGTGGTCCTGTCACACACTCTCCCCATACTCTGCTTTATCCAGGTAAGAGATTTAGAGATCACGTATCTCGATTCCATGAACTACCATCATCACGGAGAGTTCAGGGAAGCTTCAGAAAGCGACAGGGAGGGCTCCACGAGCAAGAACGTGTCACCGCGCTGCTGTAAATCAGGGCTTGGCTCATGATGCTCAAGACTGCATTCATAAAATAATTTAGAGTAAGTGCAGGGGACCTGCTGGTAGTACTTACTCTGAAATTTCACAGGTCCAGCTACTTTAATTGGGCCAATTTCAGCATTTCCGGGACTTGCAGACATATCTTTCCTGCACATAACACAGTAAGCTGCGACTTGCCTCCCACCAAATTTTCCTTTTCTCTTCGACAAAGCACATTTCCACAGCACACTAATGGCGTTGTAAGTGGGGTTAGCGACTGTGTAGCAACGGTATGGGCTGATCACACCATCCGCGGACTTACAACATATTCCCTAGCCTCAACGGCACACGTGGGTGTCCCTAAAGTCCTCTTCATGAGTTCTTTGTGAATATACAAAGACTGTGTCTGCTGGTGAGTCAGCAAGAGAAAACACATCCGTTACACTGGAGACGAGCACGGCACCTCTGTGTTTACTGCTTCTACAGCAAAAGACAGCTTGGCGTTTAACTAGCCTTTAAGTGCAAAGTGGAAGCTTCCTAGAAACTAGGCGAATATTAAGAGTTTAGCATTCTCACAAAAATCAGAAAACACCGTATTTGTAAATGCTAGCTTAAACACACACGGTCAGCAAACATCTCTGAGCTAGAGCAAACCATAGCTTCAATGACCCCACCCACCCCAAAAAACCCTGGTCGTGGCCCAGATTTATACACTTCCATTAGAATAACAAGTATTCCCAGGGGCAGGGAACAGAGTACAAGAGGTGTTTGTTTTGTTTGCTGTTTCTGCATGCTCACAGAACAACACCACACCGATCGCCCAGGCAGACCAACAGCTAAGTGTCGGGGGAGAAGACTGCACGGCACAAGAGGCAAGACGGGATGGAGAGGGAAAACGTTCACCGGTGCAATGGAAACAAAAACCACACTGTAATGAAGTCAACAACTTCCACTCAAAAGGAAACCACAAAAGTCCCTCCACGTGCCTTACGGAACCACCTGGAAGCTGGAGCGTGGGTAATGGCAGCGCTACCTGCATCCCAGCTCCCAGGCTCGCCCGCTGCTCCACCCCAACCCAGCCCACCCGGTAAGAGCGGCCGGTCTGCGCAACACAGAGGTGTAAGTTCTGCCCCTGGGCTTTGTTAGTTCAGGAGTACTGCTCTTTAAATAAAGGTGCTGATGTTACTGCCGCTATAGCAATGAACCAAAAGAACACAAAATTAATATCAACTAGCAGAATAGTGCGTCTTCTCTGTCCTCAAAATGGAATTGGAAAAAGCAGAGCAAGCATAAATGAAATTATGACTGATGTAAGCGGTTCCTCATTCTTTGCCCTCTTCTGGCTTTACTTCCCTAAAAAGACAGAGCTGATGTTAAGTGTTACACTGCTTTTATACTGCCTTTTTAAAAGGTTATTAGAAACAGCACTCAAAACTGTGCAAGAGACTTTTCCCTCCCTCCTCTTCTAGTTCTGATCCATGACAAGTGCTGTAAAGGTTGTACAGGATCTTCTGCAACACACATTTCTGCAGTTGGGGTTAGGAGAAGGAAACTTGGAGGAGAATACAACAGTGTGATTAGAAAACCACAGACACTGACTAGAGTCAGCACCTACACGGTATTTGAATTTTTTTAAACAGACCAGGATTTCACATTGGCAGTCACCGCTGACACTGGAATTGGTGCCTCTATGTTAACCTTGCATCTGTTGTGCATTGGTCAGGCATCTGCTTCCCTCCGTGAAAACAAGATTCATTGGATTTTTGGTTTGGAAGCATAATTAAAACCAGACTGGGCACAGGATATATCCTTACTAATTATGTAATTCATTTTAACAGTCACCAGTGATTTTTCTGCTTTCGTTTTGTAATTTCTCTTTCCAAATGCAACATAAGATCCTAAACCAAAACTTGATAAGGAAATTACTAAAGCATACTGCCTCTCCAGACACATTCCAGTATGAAGATTTCATGGAGGAAGAGTATGGGAATCCATTCACCCGCTTACGTGTCAAGGATCAATTACAATGTGCAGTTCTGTTGGTGGTGTTTATCCCGCTACGGACTTAGTACCTACTAACACCTTGCTCACAGTAAGTAGTTATGCACTTCTTCCTTAAGCCAGTGCAAAAAAGGAGTATGATCCTGTTTCCTCCAACGTAAAAATTGTAACCCTGGCTTTTGGAGGAGTTAACAGCTCAGTTAAGCCACAAAGCCAGGAAGGACCTGCTGGCCAATTTCACCAAATGCTCTAAAATAACACTTAAAATGGCTCGTGGGCACCCTCAGCTGCAAGGTGTCTGGCTGGAGTTTTGTCTGAACAAAAGCAGCAGCGCGGAGACAATGTTCAGAGCAGGTGAAATGACTGGGTGTCCAAAGCCAAACACCCGTCACATGCACTGTCCTGCGGGCTCCCTGCACCTCCCTGCCAAAAGCTGCTTCACCGACGTGTTCCTGGGCACACCAAACGCTCTTCGCCGTAGAGGACAGTTCCTTCTACGTCCTCCGAACTTCTCTGGCAGCATCACAATCCAGCACTGCTAACGGTACTGCTCACGCTCCTGAGCAAAACTCAGACGCTTTGGATTTGGCAGGGGGGCGGAGAGGAATTGAGGAAAGGAAATCTTATAAAGCTTAATATGGTAAAAGCAGAATTAACAGCATTATCTGGCTGTACTGAATATAAAGTGGGTCATGTCAACCGCATCAGCTGAAGCAAATGCCAACCACTCATTTTTCATCTGATAAATTAACAGGATTTGGCGGTGGTTCTTGATTTATTTTTTGCCTGGTTAGAATTATTTTATTTTTGAAGGTCATATGGCGTTTCCATGATCTTTTACTCCGACCATTTGTCTAACAAATCACCAAGGACCTATGAAATGTGAACTTGACTCGTTTTCAGATCAGAGGGAGGACGCTGCCAGAGCTCTGCAGCCTCTCCTACTCCCGACTGCTGCATGAACCAAGTGGCCTGAATTTGCCCCTCTGGAAAAAGACCCGATCATCTGAACACTGCGGGATGAGTCAGGCAGGAAAAGCATTTACATACAAACATCCTGGTAGCTAACAGGGGAAGGAAATGAATTAGAAAGAGAACGCAGTGAAAGGTTTAAATGAAGATTTGGAAACAGCCTTTCCTTGCACGTTTTTAATGAACGTGTCAGCAGAAATCTGAAGGATTCCAGAGAAGACTATATGAAATTGTCCTCACTGCTTCACCTTTCACATAAACCAATGAGAACTGATGTGGCACACAGGATTCCTAAGACTTGCCTGGACTTCTCAGGCAGTTAATACATAAAATAATGGCATTTATTCGGTAACTAGTAAAAGCAATTAGTTATAATTGCTTATATGGCTAAACACTCACTAAATAAGAATTTGTACATTTGAAATGCAAACCTACGAAGGGCCCACAGAACTAAAAACTACTATTTTAAAGTCACGTTAGAAACCTTCAGCACTATTTTCAGTGTTCCATTCCACGAACGGTGCTCCTGGAGCACCAGAGCCCAGCGCCAGCCCTCGCCTTCGGCCGTGCCTTACTCGAGAGGCTGCCCCCAGGCCTGAACGTCAGCGCAGCCCCCGGCGCAGCATTTGGGCTTTCTAAAGCTGTCGCTTCCTCGCTGTTACAGCCTGCTCTAAAAACCATTTTGAAATACCAAACTCTTGTGTCTCCTTCCTGTAATTTTTATAAGAGGAAATAATTCTAAGGACCTTAACCCAGGGGGGGCCAACACCGTGCTCTGCCAGCAACCTCTCAGCACAACCGTGCCACGTGCGAGCTTCTGGGAAAATAAGTCGTCTTTTTGTTTGAAAAATGGAAAAGTTTTATCTCCGGGACCTGTGATTTTACTTATTGCTCCCAAAGGCCACCAATGAGAGCGTTTAATTCCACACGAACGCTTCACCATCAGTCTACCAAGGGAGCCACAGCGGATGCCAAGGACAGGAACAGAGCAGCTGACCTTGGGAAAACTCAGGCCACGATTCCTACTATATTAACAGGAAGGGGACAGGGACACGGCACTGGGAACGGTGGCGATGTGTCACAGAATGCTGATCTGGTTTGCTCTGGGCCCAGGTGAGTTCCCAAGGTCAGCCGGGGAGGCTGCCAGCTTCCTCGCACCGCGCCATGGATAAACCAGCGTCTAACACGCTGCGTTTCAGCGGCTGGCAGGGAAATCCCTAGCCCTAATCCCACAAAGCACATCACACTGGACTGATAAAGCTTCGGCAGCCAGAGCATCACTTCAAACGATGTGCATCATCGCACTGGGAAGTGTGAGTCAGTTCAGAAACCAACTAAAACTGTGGACTTACTGGGAAATGCCCAGAAAAAGACATGCTGGCCTACGATTCCGCATGCCAGTGTGTGCAGGAAAGGCTGCGAGGACAAGTCAAACACAGGACTTGACATTTTTTTCCTCAGCTTTCCAATGGTTCATCACAATGTTTATCAAACTCTTAGTTAACATCCTTCACAGTTTGCAAGAAGGCAGCCGCGAGTGGCCGCTGCAAATAGTTTTTCAGCTGGGTATTTTTGGGAAGATATTTCATTGACGTTTAAAGTGTCAAGGATAAAAACTGTGAAAAAGTCATTTAGAACTAATCAGGAAAAATGTTAAAGCACATGGCAGGATTTAAAATTCTTCTTTGGACACTTTCAAAGCTGTTTAAGCCACATCTGCTGAAGGAGGCCCAAAGGCAGGCAAGATAAACTCGTTGGGAGGCGGGATTTCTTAGTCTCTCTACAGGAATCAAACCATCCTATCTCACTGAAACCTCATGCTGCAGGATGTGGTTACGGTCCTCTAGAAGTGTCAGCCCCAAGTATTTATAGCCAACGCCCATCAGCACATGTAGGCAGCTGCAGGAAACACTAAATTCAGTGCTGTCGTCCCCAGGTCCCTACCAACACGGCAGCCTTGGTTTAAAGCACATGTGTACCGTACAAACAGCTTCATTACCACCTAGAATCAGTCCATCCTCCGCATCTCACCTGTTCAAGACTCGGCCTTACTAAGGAGAGCTGCAGTGTCATCCTGCCAGAGCTGAGACCCAGCCGCTGGAACAGAAGTCTCACACGGAGGCATATTCAGCCATAAAAACACAGGTAAACCATCCTCCCACTGCTACAGCAAGAGGTGTCAGATCTTCTGAGGGAAACACCTGGACTTGCACCGACTGAGGTCAGAAGAATTATCTTCTAGAATCCCTCCCAATGTGCCATCCTCATCCTGACACAGATACTGGGCTGAATCCGCCCTGCGGAGAGGAAAACTCCTCGTATGAAGGCAGAGAACACGCAGCATCACAGACACCCTCTGAACGGTGCTTCTCCAACCTTCCCTGCCAGAGACATACGTGGGGCTACTCATTAACGACCGACTTCTACGTGAGTTTTATTAACATTCAGCTCCTCCCTCCATGCTCTGGGCAATCCCACCCCCTCCCCCAGAAAAATAAATGCGTAATTTCCATCAACAACTGTACTTTTTGTGGTTTCATCGTGGGGTTTTTGACTGCAAATGGCTTTATAGGTTGGGATTCCTTGGATTTGTCTGCATGTTATGGGAAAACACAATGGATTCATTCACAAAAACAAAACAAGTTTTTACATAACGGAACGTGCAATAAAAGCGCAAGAAAAAGGAAAAGAGAAAGAAAGAGAGAGAGAGGTATCCAGAGGAGAACTTACCCCGCGCTTTAGGCTCCTGAAGCAGTGGATTTTGGGTTTGGAGGTCATGAACTCGTTGAAGCGATGGGAGAGGGGTTCCTTTTGCTGCTTGGGAGACTGGGGGCCGTTGGGAACAGCAGAGGGTGAGGCAGAGGCAGGGGGAGGAGGAGGGGGCTGATGGGGGGATGTTAAAAGGGACATAAGCTACGTATAAGAGATGGAGAAGTGACAGAATAAAACCAAAATAAAAAGATAAAACACAAAACGAAAATAAGCATCAAAACCAATATTTGAAATCCAGAGAAAAAAACCAATTAAATAATTAAATATTAAAGGCCATGGTTCAAAAGAGGGGGGAAAGCAGCATTTAAGAGTCGTGTTAAGTGAAGAATGTGATAAATGGAAGTTTTAGTAAGTGATGCCACACAAGAGTAACAGAAGGCGTTCTGACAGGAGGCTCATGCAGACCCTTCCATGCAGCGCTATCCCCGCAGCGTGCCCTGCTCTGCTCCGCAGGCAGCTCGGAACAATGCGGATGGAGAGAGCTTTCAAATACCTGAATTTAAACGGGTCAGATAAGGAAGGTACCTTAGTGCCCAGTAGCGTTTCTATCATCTGGAAAACAACAAACCACATGCCTTCCTGCGTTCAGATCGTACCTCAGTACTGTGCATCACACTTCGTTCACAGATCGTCCTACGAATCTGCTCAGGAGTCAGTCCTGGTTTGGTTTTTTTTTTTCCTGGCTACACTGATGTAAGCACCAGACAGCTGTGTTCTCCTCTGTGTCAGCACAACAGGAACGATCCGTTTGGAACGGGTGTATGTTTTGACTCTAATTAGCAGACGTGGTTTGGTATGGGTCAGAGCAAGGGTGAGACCAACCCAACGAAGCTCCTCTGGGCTTCCATCAGTGCTACTGAAAACCGCTTTAGTCCAGTCACCCTGCCACGTGCTGGTATCCCTGATAAATGCTGCCATGCATTACGGTGTAAAATATGACAGTGGGATGAAAAAGGTTTAATGGATACATAAGTTAATACGGTCTTAAAGTCAACTGCTCGGTTAGTTATGCTGTTAGTTGTGCTTCAGAAGGACGAACCGCGACAACTCCTCGCTCCCAGCCACCCCACTGCTG